ATTTGGTTTCTTCAGCATTTGCATCCCTATTCAATGTCTGAAAGAAATGATACAGTTCTCATAATGTTGCAGAAAAATGAAAAACCTAATGTTTTTGTATGTCTTAATACAGCTTTAGTGCTTTTACAAGCTTAATGTCTTGCGATAAGTTATTATATCTGAATTCTATAATGTAAACCCAAAAAAATACCGTTGAAGAATGTTCAGCTATAAAGTGCTATCCTATAATACAAATTTTTTGTTGTGTAATATGCCCATTTCCTATTTTCACAATATTACGGACGTGAAAATAATAGCTAAACTCGGTTTTAACTCTCCTCTATAAGCTTCCCAAAATCATCTTTGATTGGGTACTCAAGCTCATGTGAACAACAAATCAATTGGGTATTTGTTTTAGGATCGTGCAACTTGTACAGATAAACTGGCCGACAGATGCATGCACATGTGCATCTGTAACACTATCTATATAGTCATAAAATGTACAGATAGCTTTATTTTTTATTTTATGTGAATAGTTGTGGTTTATGACAATCTTAACTAAATAGCACTTGAAGCATGGTGAGTGGTGACATATCTGTTTCATTGCAATAGATGGTAGTCTGTTCATGCTATAGCTAGGGGATGAGAAAATGACTGAGGAAGTTGGTAACTCAATGTTGTCCCCTCACTTTAGGAAAAAATTAATTGGGCAATGAACTTTGAGCCGTGCCATGTGTACAGGGAAAACACTGTCAGGGAACTACCAAGGAACACTTGTCATTTTACATTGGAAGATGGCAAAGGAAAAAAAGGGAATTATTCCTGCGTACAAAGGGAATAACTCGTAAATTTTAATTGATGTCAGCAAATTGTGACAATTGAATTGTCGCATCATAGATATGAAGTAAAACGCAATGTCCCCTGTCCCTTCTTTTGAGAGTTAGCTTCATGCTCGTCCTTCTCGTCTTTGAAAAGGGTACTTGTTGGGAACCATGATATTCTTTCTTATAAATTGAAGGAATTTCTTGATTACGTTAATCAAATTTATGGACCTAGATTGAGTGATCCAATTATGACAAATATTAAGTTTACAGGCCTAATTGGAAAGAAGAAAAATAAAGGTTCAATTCAATGATTCACTATAAAATTTCGTTTTACAGTTCACTGACCTCACCTTTGATTTTATATTCTGGCAGTGACTAAATTTACATCTATCAATTTTTTTCAAAACTTGAAATGTAGTCTAAGAAATGAAATGAACACTGCAATCATCAATAAGTTGAGCACTGCTTTGGTTTTCATATTACAGAGTTCAACAGCACACAAATAAGTATACTAGCAAACCCACAAACCAAACACTCAAATATAACCACAACAGATTTGAAAAAACATGAACACCGATACAAGTCGATGAAACACAGAAATTTTTATTCTCAGAAGCACTCAAGTTAAACACATACTGATGCAACTCAATTTGGATAAGGCTTTGTCGAAGAGCTTGCATCCAAGATGGCTTACTGCTGATAACATCCCACCATGCACTCACATGTTTTCTGTCCTTTATCATGTACCCCTTTCCAACACCATTCAGCAAGTAATGACCAAGTTGGAGGTGGCTAAGATCAGCCAAGCTGAAGAAATCTCTAGCTAGGTATTTGTTCGTCCACAGCCTTTCCTCGTAGATATCCAGAATTTTCCCTTGTTTGCCTCATTTTCTTGAATGACTTTCTGATCTGGTGTGATTCCCAGTTTGGAGCTGAAAACTGTATGAATCACTAAGGTGTTAAGTGGAGGGTTGAAATTGTGTTTCTTCCAATTCTAACCATTGTTCTACTTTGCCCTTCTCCTCCATTGTCTTTCCAAAAAATTCAGTTCCTTGAGACTTGTACTTTTCTGCATAGTACCTGATTATAGCTCTGGATTCTGCACAAAATATGAAGTACTGGGTTGTAATAAGTCAAGACTTTAACTCATTTTTCTTCATTAATCATGTCAAATCCAGTGGAGCGTATCAAACAATAGTAGCATTAGACTTTTACGAAATGAAGTGTAGTCTCCATCTTATATGGCAGGAAGAAGCACGGAAGGCTACAAGAGTTTGCAAGATGATATGAGTAAATCCTATCAATTCTCACAGGGAAGAAAGTGAACAAAAATAACAGAAGAATACCTGCAACTTGAGATAATCGGGGCTTTTGTTTTCGCCCTCAAAGGCATCGACATCAACAACATCGAATTCAATCTCTTTCTCGATAAGGCTAACAATTACACGCTTACTTGAAGCATATTCGGGTCCGTACACTTCAACCACCATTGCTGCTAGTTCTTGCCTCTCTTCTGATTCAACCTGAGAATATGCCTATTGGGATTATATACAGTTATGCTCCTACCAAACCGTGATGTGTTTTTCAACAGAATTAAATGCAGGGGACTTATTACCGCCAAATTTTCAATTTCTTTTGGCTAACATACAACGTTAGTTACATCGACAATGGGTTCTAATATTTGTAGAGGCTGAATTTAGGACAGATTTCAAATTTATACGCAATGTGTTGAAATTAAGCAACCATATGGAGATTACTTTGTTATACCTCACAATAAACAAAGAATTGGGCTGTAATCCACAGGCAGGGAAGGGATAACATCAACGTGGCACTAATATAGTTTTGGTGAATAGGCTCTTATTTGTAGGATCATGCTAGATGGTCATGAACTTTGTTTGTCCCTCCCTCTATGGAAATGTTGAGTATGTACGAGGAGATGCCTCTTTTTTCTCTCGATGTTGATAGAATTGATCGCAACAAAAAATTGACGACAAAGAAAGGTCTTGACTATATGTATTCAGAGTCTAAGCACAAGTGCCATTCCATTCTATAATTTTTCTTGTTATTTTGATTAGATGTATGTTAATATCATCTTATATATCTATACTTAACCAACTAAAATCAACCATCAAAAAATTAATAACATCAAAATAAAATTGATTATGCAATGTGGAACAGTTCTTTTTGCTGTGTTTATGACATCTATAAATTGCCTTCAACTTCAGAAGAAAAATGGGACAAATAACAACAGAAGCTTTAAACTACTTCAAGTTCTGAAGCAGTAACCAAAAGCTAAAACATCATCTATTATTACAGAAATTCAACAATTGGACTCAAATTACAATGTTAATGGGATGCTCTTCATCTTCTAACATCAGGTATTTATACCCCTCTTCTATTACCATCAAACCATCTTCAGTGGCTGTGCTAAGGTGTTCACAGGGGCTTATTACAAATTCTAGTTCTGTTCTTTCTCCTGAATTTAAGTTCACACTCTGAAATCCAACCAATTGTTTCAAGGGATTTCGTTGGCTAGGCATGATAGGCCTTGCAAACAGGAGAACCGCATGTCTTCCGGAAACTTCCCCCAAGTTCTCGATTCCGACTACAGCAGAGAACTTGGCTTTCTCACAGATGTCTTCTCCCATATCGGAAACTGATAGAGTATGGAGTGAGTTTGAGCTTTCAGTAGTTGTCGGAGAATTTAACAATTGATTTAAATAGATAGTGTTTGGAGTAGAAGAGACAAATTTGTATGTATAGGCCGAGTAGCTGAGACCATAGCCAAACTCGAACACTTTTTCTCCAGTGTAGAAGCGATACGTGCGACCTGGATATCCTGAGGATGGTTCGGGCCGCATTCTCATGTCAGTCATTGGTACTCGGATGAAATTTTTCGGATACCAAGTGACGGGTAATTTTCCTCCTTGCATGGCAAAGGTTGTAAGATCAGTGTCTTTCTAGGAAAAATCATCACCGTGGAAAATAAATTCGGCAAACAATAAAATAGAAGAGAGAACACATACGTTTATGTGCCTATAGAAGCAGAATCAAATTACCAATCAAAGTTTCAAATAATGTATTTGCATCAGAATTCAGAGAATTGGATGAAATGCGCTTCCATCAAGATATCAAAAGATCTTACCTGGATTATGGTCACCAAATATGATTTCTGCAAGTGCAATTCCTCCGGCTTCACCAGGATAACCTGCCCACAAGATGCTTCCTATTTTTGGATTATATTTTGCAAAAGAAACGTCGACAGGACCTCCACAAACCAGCACAAGAATAACCGGCTTATCTGCAGCCTCGGCAACGGCTGTGACGAGACTCTCTTGCTGACCAGGAAGTGTCAGATAGAGCCGATCGTGGTCCTCGGTTTCTTGAGTTTGATCCAATCCCATGACCAGAACCACATAGTCTGCGCCCTTTGCTGTATTAACAGCATCATCGATTGCAACAGAGGTACAATTCACTGCGTTACAACCCGGGTGGAACTTGGTGTTCTTCACGAAGCTCTGGAGCGCTTTGAGAATTTCCACAGATTTGCATGGACGCCCTTCATAGTTTCCAAGAAGTGCGTATGCATTATTACCATTTGGGCCTATTACAGCCAGCGATGTTATTTTGTTCTTTAAAAGAGGAAGAAGCTTCGCAGAGTTCTTTAATAGGACAATGCCATTTCTAGCAGTTTCAAGGGCTAGTTCCTGGTGCTCTTGGGTACAGACTTGATTAGGACCAATGTTACCAAAAAGTTGTTTATTTGGATCTCCATTAAACAATCCGAGCCTCATCTGAACTGCAAAAAGGTTATGAAGGGCTCTGTCTATTTCAGATTCTGGGAGCATTTTCTGCTGAACTGCTGATTTAGTGTAGTTTTTCAAGAAGGTGCCACAGTTGACATCCATGCCTGCAGACATTCATATGGAATTCACATACTGTTTTTCACTTCACTGTTAGATAATACCATGAAAGTTACAAGTAAAAGTTTTCTACGAAACAATTCCGTCTTCCATGCAAATACGAATCAATCGAAATCATACTATTCAGTGGTCAATCAAAATACAGAAGGCGTCATTATTTTCTATTGGCAAATGTTCTAAAGCACTTCATAGTAACTTGTGGATAGGCCATGAACATGGCCAATTTATGTAAACAAAATAAAGTGTTAAGGTGTGCATAAGTTATCATGCATGCTTTTTAAAGTCTTTTAGTTTATTAATTCCGTACAGTGTTGTCGAGTCCAGCATATCTAATGTACATTAAGACGTGCACAAACTAAGCAAATTTAATACGTGAAATAGATATCCGACATGTGTTTTCTTCTCATATTTCCACATCAAGAGAGACGAACATATACAGCAAGGAATTCATCATTGTTTACATTTACATTTACTTTTACAACACAGAAAATACAACCATCAACCACATATAGAAATAAAGAAGAGTAAGAGTCTACCAGCTTTGAGTACATCTGCTACTGTCTCTTCAGGTGATTTTGTATATTTTTGAACATCATACATTGCAGCAACTGCATCGCAGTCGGAGGTGATGTACCTGATTAGTACTCGGCCACATATTAGAATAGACTAGATGCAAACAAGTTCAAGCTACCAGAATATCCCTTCAAGAAAGCAAATGTCAATGCTAAAAGAGAATTGTGTGAGTTGCCACTACATTCCTGTTCTACGTTGAACACAACACGTATAATAGAAGAAAACATTGACATCGTTGTTTACAACAATAAGCACCAGAAACATCAAATATTCTCAAAGAAAAACAAAACAACTAGTTAACTAGCTCGACATTCAAAGAAACGAATTAGAGACCTTAAGAATAAAACACTACTCTAAGTGTGCGCTATGGATCATTAAACTCTTAAGTGTGCACTATGGAAACCCATCTCCAAGAGCTGATTTAACTGGGAGATCCAACCATATATGAACAAAGTCGAGATGCAAACAAGTTAAAGTTACAAAAATACCATTAAAAAGGCCGAAAGAAGTGATGCAAATTGCCTTACCCATGAAAACCCCATTCTCCACGAGCTGTTTTGGTTAAGAGATTGTAGTCAGCACAATTTGGAACCCCGTTCACGCGATTATAGGCACACATTATCCCACTGGCTCTCCCATCTTTTACACAACTTCTGAAAGGTGGCTGATAAGTGTCTGCCAAATCTTGCTGTGTTACCTGCACATTATATCCCCGGTAACGCAGATCAGATGCACAACATAATTTGGACTCTGCAGCTTTTGCGTAATTGAAGATTACAGAAATATATTAAAATAAAAATCTAAAGCCTTATTCTGCATAACATCAGGGTCAGTCAGATGAATCATTTTTTTGTGACTCCATCAAGTTTATTAGTTCTTACAGACAAATATAATGCAGATAGCATAATTAATGAGGCGAGCACACAGATACATGCAAACATACATATATAGACAGAATAAATAACAAATTCAACAAAACAATATGAAATAATGCAGGGGAATTAAAAATTCATGGAACAGACAAAATTCTCGTGAACATAAAAGTATGGTAACCTAACCGCATATCCCAATGGCCTTCACAACTTTTCATTTTCAAGAATATACAGACAAATGGATGAAGGTTTACATATAAAAAAGGAATCTTTGAACTGATGTCAATTATTCCAAGTGCATTAGGTAAAACACTACTGTAGTAAAAGCAATGAATAAAGTATCAAGAAAAGAAATTGTTCAAACAAGATGTATTTCTCACCTTTTTTTATACAATGTTTGGCAGCAAAGAGAAAACCCGCAAAATTAGAATTAGAGATAGTTTATTACAAATATAAATTGAATAAATCTTTGATAAATTTCAATTATTTACCTGAGCATCAAATCCGTAGCGCATGACTCCATTCCAATTCTCCAAATCATAAGCAGTGAAGTGTTTGCAGCAAGCAGAGGCCTGAAGATGCCCATTGTTTAGCGTCCCACCTTGAAAACTGTCCCCTTGTATTCCTCTAACATACGCTACTGCGTAATTTCCCGCAACCAATGGATCTTCCCCAGGTGTTTCTTGCCCTCTTCCCCATCTTGGGTCCCTAAAAATATTTATGTTTGGTGCCCAAAATGTCATCCCCTTTGCTTGCCCTGCATTGTATACTGCCCTTGCTTCTGTCCCAGTCGCCTACCAATTATCGGAATGGAAAAAAACCACCATTTAGTATGCTTTTCCATGTCAAATATATCAAAAATCAAGCTTGAATCGTAATTATAAGAACAATGGCTTTAAGTATAATGAAACCATACACACGCAAAGCAGACGTAGAGCTATGGTCGAAGGTTCGAAGGATTTCACGTCTCTTCGATCCCGAAAACTAACCTCCCCGGCCCCCAAATTGCTATGTTATTAAGTAGATTTTCAATAAAGGAATTGGATGATTAAAAATTCCCCGCAATCTAACAAAATTTCCTTCATTAATTAATGACTAGGAAAATAAATAAGAGGCGTGGAGAATTTCACCTGGCCAATGCGGTACCAAAGATGAGAATCAAAGGTAGCAGCAGTGAGGAGGACTTGAGGGAAGCTAGTGACATGACCAATACTTCCAATGAATGAAACGCCATGACCATAACCGGAGACACCGTGCAACGCCTCGGACCACCACTCATACGGAGACACACCTAGTCTCGGGATGGCAGGTGCTGAGTTAACTAGCTGAGTTATCTTCTCGTCCAATGTCAGGCGCGAAACAAGATCCTGCACTCTTTTTCGAATTGGCAGCTTGGTCTGGCAAAATGGGAAGGATTTAGTCTGTGGATTTTCGGAGTCACACGAGAACGGAGGCTGAGTCGACTCAGTATGCAGGAGGAGTAATGCCAGGCAAAAGGCATTGCTGAGAGCTGCTACAGGGAGGAGTTTCATTGTTGAAGGCGTGAAAGCGAAGTAAAGTAAAAACAAGTGATAATGGAAAAGGAAAGTTATTTACTTGCGCATGTTTTGGCTAAAGCTTAAAAATTTTACTCAGTAAATTTTTTTTATATTTAACAACAATAAGATAAGTTATCTAATGGGACCAAAAATTGATTTATAGTTAGTACTTTTTCAAAGCGTGTTTAGAAAATTACTCACTTTAGTACTCATAAGCTCATTCATATATATATATATATATATATATATATACACACATGGGCGGAGCCAGCCTTTCAAAGTAAGGGGGTCCCGGAATTGAAGGGACGGGGGCTCACGGGGGTACTGTCCCCGAAATTTTTTTTTTAAACATTATCTGTTAAAATGAGGAAAGTTGGTACTTTGTGATGGAAAAATGAAACAAATGAACATAAATTAATATACGAAAACTTCACAAAAAAATCAAGAANAAAAAAAATAATTTTAGCCAAAAAATTAAAAAAAAATTTTAAAAATATTTTTTTGTAAAAAAATTGGGGGGGTCCTGGCCCCCCAGGACCGGACCCCCCTCCCCTCCGCCCCTGTATATACACACACTTTGTTCTTTCGAATTATCATCAATTACATTTTTAAATTAAAGTTCTCTTAAACTTGTGAAAAATCTAACTCTATTACTTCATTCGCCCATAAAGATAGACTTACTTCCATTTTCATATATATTAAGATAATATAATTAATATTGGTTGAAATATAATTTTTTCTAATATATCACTATCTTATATAATTATTTAGATATGAGTAGTTTATATTTGTTGATTACAAGTTACAGTAAATATGAACATATTAAAAGACTAATAAATGAATAATACTCCTAACAAGAAAAGTGACGTATAATTTGGGACAATCGAAAAAGAAAAGTAAGTATATTTTTATGAGACAGAGAGAGTATTTGAATAAAGTTATTTAGTATCACTGGTTCTACAATACCAGTTTAAACGACATTATGTAATAGGATTAATGAAAAATAGAATTAAGTGACTAATTTAATAGTAGCTCTCAATATTACATTAATGCACCTAGACTGACGTAATATTAGGATACTAAAAAGCACTGCTCTTAGAATAATGTTATTTAACACTAGTGGTGTTAGAATATCAATTTATGTGACATTATGTAATAGATTCAATTAAGGTAAAATTATGTGATTTATTTAATTGAACATGTAATTTAATGTTACTAATCTAGTCATTTAGACTGATGTTAAACATCGATGGTATTAAATAACATTAATCTTGCGAATAATGTTATGTAACTCCAGTGGGGTTGAAACCCCAATTTAGATGGCGTTAGATGATATGATAAATAAAATGTGTAATTCAACTTATCATTTTAATGTCACATCAACGTCACCTAAATTGGAATTACAATTGAGCTAAATAGCATTACTCTTAATCTTGCTATTATTATATCAAATCGTGGTTGCAAAAATTAATGATCACTTTCACACGTAAAGTCCAAAAACCAAAGGTAGTACTTAAATATCGATTACCCCAATCATTAATAGCAAAAATAAATTTAGTTTAATAAATAATTAAAAGTAGGTGGGTCCACATCAATGTCCAGATTTTCTAAGTTTACTGGTTTGGTAAGCTTTAATCGAAGTCAAAAAGACAAAATCCATGTTAGGTTAGGTTAGGTTAGGTTAGGCATGCATGAAATAGATGGTCACTCAATGTGCCACTGTTTGATGTTCATTATTTCATCAAAATAAATTTTACAATAGTGAATATTTGTAGAATATATAATTAAAAAGTAGAAAAAAATATTGAATTTAAGTGAAAAATATTTTATTATAAAAATATGTGGTTGAAAATGAATTTGAAAAAAAAAATTAGTTTAGAAATAATGTGAATGAAATAGGGGCTGTATTAGTTTACCTTGGTTTTAGGCTTGACAGTACCTATATGGCGGTTTGTATTCTTGTCTCGATTGTTGGAAATATTGAAGAGGGGAAGAATGACATGGAAATAAGAAATGAAGAATTAGGCTCGAATATTTATGTGATACATTGTCCTAAAAATGATATTTGTCTCCTCTACTATGCTTTTAAGATTTCTAATAAATAATTTAGAGGATTGACAAGCCTTCAAGAAAGAAACACAAAAGTAAAAATGATTCTTTTTAGTCGAACTTGTTAAAAACTTGAAGAATGTTTGAATATGTATTAGAATGTGAAAAATCAATTATAGAAATAAATGATGAAATCTTATGTTGTTTTCTTATGTTCTAAATTGAAAAACTATGATTTTTTTTTATAGATTTCTAACATTATATCACGAAAATGCTCCAAATAAAAATCAGCCCAACGGGTAAGTTTTTTAACCATGCGTACACATGGTTATATTCTTTTGTACGCATAGTAGAAGCAAAATTACTTTAGTTTCCTACAAACAATTTCTTGTCTACACAAGGCCATTTGACCTATGCTTACACATGGTTAAGTAGAAATCACCCACTGCCTTCCAATTTCATCCAACATTGTCTTTCACTTTTATCATAATTCATTCATATTTCGATCCAAATTTTGAACAACAAATAATTATATAACAACCCCCCATTTATTCAAAATTTCCACATATTCATACCTAGTAACACTAATGCATAAAAATTAAATATCTTTAGATTTGAATCTAATCATAGTGTAAATCTCACAAAGTTTTATCTAAATTCCAGGCAGCACGATAGTTTTGAACTAGTCATTCTTTGTGACAATACCGATGAAATTACAGACATGAGTGTTATGTTTTCACAAGTTCCTCAAACTCGCTTAATATTATTATGGCATTGCACTTACCTTATTCATTGAACTTTTAAGAGAGAAACACTAACTCTCTATTGATGCGGCACCACCTTAACGTTTACATAGGTGAAATTCTTTCAATATCTTTGTTATTTTTAGAGATACTTGTACTTCGTATTGAACCTCATTAAAAACTTTATTAACTCATCCTTCCTATCATAGCAACCAGCATCAAGGATATGGTATTATAATATGTTAATAATGCTGAAATTTATCCACTTATCGAATAAATTGTTATTACCCTTTGAACCTAAATATACTTGTTTAGTATAATTAGATAGGGTGGCCATCATTGATGAACGTTTAATCAATGAGTTTCAACCCCATCTTTCTCGATATTGATCTTACAACTCTCTTGTAAGAAGTTTAGTCAATAAATTAACTAAGTTATTAATAAACTTAAATCCCATGCTTGATTAATTTTCTCACATATGTCTTAAACTCATATGTCTAGACCTTCTATTATATACTTCACTATATGCTCATGCTAAAGTGGCTTGACTATCACACAAGATAGGTATCGAAAAAATATCATTTGCATCCAAAGGAATTTCATAAAGAAGATCCCTTAGCCATTCAGCCTTTTTTCATGTTTCAGCCAATGCTATAAACTCAGACTCCATTATTGAGTGTGTAATGCATGTTCATTTCTTAGACTTCCAATAAAATGCACCTCCTCCAAGAGTTAACACCCAACCTAAAGTAGACTTATTTTCTCCCGCACGCGATATCCAACTTGCATTAGTGTATCCTTCAAGAATGGTTGGAAACTTTGTATATTGTAGTCTAAGATTTTTGGTTTTATTTAAGTAACCAAGAACCCTCCCTATGACCTTCCAATGTTCCGAACATGGATTACTAGTAAACTTACTTAGTTTACTCACAACAAATGCAACATCGGCTCTTGTATATTGTACCGCGTACATGAGACTTTCGATTGCACTTGCATACTCAATTTGAGCTATTGATCTTCTATCATTCTTTATTAACTTGATACTTGAATCCAATGAGGTATTTGCCTCTTTAATGTTCAAATATTTGAACTTATTTATCACATTCTCAACATATTGTGATTGGCTTAACGAATAATGCACATTATTGTTCTTAACTTTGATACCAAGGATAGTATACACTTGTCCAAAATCTTTAATTTTGAATATGGAAGATAGAAACATCTTCGTTTCTTTAATCCCTGCTATGTCATTATCAATAATTAACATATCATTCATATAAAGACATACAAATGCAATAACATTATCACATACTTTGGATATACAAATTTTTATCAGCTGAATTATGAGTAAAACCATATGACATAATAGTAGTGTCAGATTTTTCATACCATTTTTTAGGGGCTTGTTTTAAACCATATAAGGACTTGATTAGTTTGTATACCTTATGTTCATTTTTCAATAGAATAAACCCTTTCTGATTGTTCCATATAGACTTCCTCTTTGAAATCTCCATTTAGAAATGTTGTCTTGATATCCATTTGATGAACATATAAATCATAAATAGATGCTCGTGCAAAAAAGATTCTTATTGAGGTTATCCTAGCCACATGTGCATACGTGCCAAGGTAATATATTCCTTCTTTTTGTCGATATCTTTTAACTACTAATCTAGCTTTATAGGCATTGAGTGTTCCATCAGAGTTATATTTCCTTGTAAACACCCATTTACAGTCAATGGATTTAGAACCCTTTGAAAAATCAACTATTTCCCAAGTGATATTCGATATAGTAGAATCAATTTCATTATTTATTGCATCTTTCCGGATATGCAATCTCTATTAGACATTGTTTCCTTATAAGTTTTAGGATCACTTTCGACTTGAAGAATAAAAGGAATTGTTCTTACAACATCCTTCATATTTTCCTCTACTAAGTAGAAAGAAATAAGTTAGGAATCTATTTCATCCGATTCTAAACCTTTTTATTTTTTAGTTCTTTTAATTTTTCGAGGTTCACTTTCAATATCTCTTGTAGATGCCTCTTCTTGTGATTCTCTAGAAATCGGAACGTCTACATTAGTTTCATTTTGAGAATTTCTTGTTACTAATACATTCTTGAAAAACTCTACGTCCCTTGATTTTATTATAATATTTAATTCTAAATTTAGTAACCTATAGACTTTGCCATTTAAAACATATCCC